GTATGTATTTGTCAGAATTCATAAAATGGCACATTCATATGGAAAAAAAAATCATAGGATTAAACACTGCTGTATACAAATCATACATTCATGAAATAGACTTAAAATAATAAAAAAGAAGATTTGACATAAAAATGAAATTACTTTATACTTTTCATTTCAATGGGTTCACAACTTTTTATTAGAAATATTATCTTACAGACCTTATGCTCTTTATGCTTTGATTAGATCTAGATGTTTAGATAAAATGAATAAACATATGTAGATTTAAAAGTATTATCTACTTAGAATTTGTAATGATATTTTTGACAAATCATTATATGGAAAATTGTGTTTTTAAGAAGTAGTACACATTATTATAATAAAATATTATAATAGTGAAAACAATCATAAGTGGAAATGAAATATTATTTAGGTGATCTATTCTCAGATAATGTTGCAATCTCTACATTTACATGTAAAGGTATAAAGAAAGTTTCTATTTATAAATGAATTTCCTTTTTTCTGTAAATCACTTATAGTATTTTATTGCATATAATATACATGATAAAAGGTAATAGTTTTTATTTAAAGTAATCCTTTTATTATCACTCCAGTTACTGATCATTAAAAAAATAAATCCTAGTTTAGAGAAATTGCTTTGTTCAATTAAAAAATAAGCTGCAAAACTATAAATTAGAAATAGCAAAGGTTATTTTAGACATGCAATCACTGGAGGTTGATTATCTACATACCATACGTTAGCCTCAAGGTCATGCTGAATATTTTCAGTGGCTTAATCACATATAGTACAGTACAGTGATGAGAGCTATGTAGTCCTGGATGACCCACTACAAATGTACAGATTAGCAAACCCTAATTACATCTGCTTCCATTGTTTTCTCTATGTGCAATAAAACTCCTCTGTACTAAAGTGCCAAGGAGGCAGGCTTACAGGCAAATGTCTGTAAATCTACTAGTATGTTAGTTATAGATTATGAAATGCATAATTTTCATATAGGAAAGAATCACAGGAGCCCAATTATTCTGTTAGAATATGTTTAGAATATCCAAATAAAAATTATAAACTGAAATCTAACAATATGAATTTAATTTCAGAGTTTCTAAAGATAAAAATTACCTTTAAAAGCTGTATGAAGAATTAGAATATTGGAATCAACACTTGCTCCATAATAATCAATGAATGACTAGCCCCAATACCCTCATATGTTTGGAAAGGGTTAGATCATATTTATTTTGAGCAATAAGAACATATTTTCATTGATAATTCTCACCCCCAAGTTTTTCAGTTTATAGATGCAACTTGAAATATCCTATATCTCTGTGTTGGGATACATAATCCAATAAACTCAACTTCATATTCTTTTTATCTCCCCAGTGTAATTAGTACATATTAATGCAAATGAAGTTAAGAAACTGAGACAATTATCTAAATAACCCAGGCTTTAAATTTAGTTTTCTATCCAAAGAAAAGATTTGGACAGTTATCCAGCATTGGCTCAAATCTGTAAATCCAAGGGTGGTAAAAATTCTTGTAAAGTAAGTACACTTCCAACTTTCAGTTTTAATCTCAGAGTTATTTTCTTTTCAACATTTATTAGCACCAAGAACATGTTTACTAAGCAACACTTTAGGAAAAATAAAAGTATTCCCTACTACAAACCTATTTGATTGTGTACTATAAGGATGAGGAAAACTGAGGGAATAGCCTTGATCATTCAAGTGAAGAATTAAGGAAATACTTTAAAAAAATTAACCATAATTATCGGGATGCTCTGGTTGAAGAAACAAAATAGGGTCTAAATTGTATAGTGACCTCAATTCTTTGCTTTACTTTGTCATAAACCTGATATTAAAATATAAAATAACTATTTCAAGAAATCACTGAGACTTTTGAAGCTCTCAAGTTACTTTGTTTCAAATGTTATTATACCAGTAGTCACACTAGGAAAAAAGGTATGGATGTCATCAAATTAGATTACCAGAAAAACTCCCCCTATTTTACTTTATTTAATGTGACACATAAAGAAAACCCTGTACAAATATCTGTCTTTAATTTCTCTAGTGTAAAAAAAAAAAGAGGAAATATATTGTGTCTGGCAGAATAAAACAGATGAAGTAGCCTGGGTACATTAAAAAAAAAAAAAGAAGAAGAGGTGGGTAGAAATCAAATGCTTACAATGAGCCTTCAAAGCCACTCCAGCAATAGGGATAAAAATAATTCAATAAACTCAACTTCATATTCTTTTTATCTCCCCAGTGTAATAAGCACATATTAAAAAATAAAACTTTAAATTCATGAATATTTGGGAACAGAATAGCAACCAGCAGATAATGAAAAAACACAAAACAATATCTTTGTGAACATTTAACATGTGTGTGCATATCCTCTAACAGATAAATTTTTCCAGATGAAAGGTCACAAGTGCTTAAATTTATGAACATGTAATTCAAATTAGATTTTTTTAAAAAACAGAAACTTTGCAGTTCTACATTTCTCAACATAATTGACTTTTTCTTTAACTCTAATAAGGCGACTATTTTTGCATTACTTTGTTTACTCCGTAATATAAGCAGGTCTACAAAATGGGGATAAGTTACCTAGGAAATAGCACTTAAGGAAAAATATTTTGCCATTGTTATTTTGAATGCTTTGAATTGTTAAAAATCACAGTATTTGATTGTTTTATATTCATTAATAAGTACCAAAATTTATGATAATGGTGAGCTTGTGACTGCTTTGGACTTTTTTTCCTAAGTGGTATCTTTTAAATCAAGGCTGCCTAGTAAACTAGGTAAATGAAATGGAAAAAAAAAAAAAAAAGATCGAATTGGTTAGTCCTTAAAATTCCAAATACCATTCAAATGTAAGCATCTCAGATTTTCATTAAATCATGAGACTCTTGATTCCTCCCTCCCCCCTTCAATTAGGTCAGTTTTCTTCAATTATCATTCTATTATTAGCTCATGTCAAACATGCCTGCATAGCATACCAATGAAAACAATTAACACATATCCTAAAGCATGGGACACACAAGGTTTTATTCATAGTAAAAACATATAAGGCTGGTGTCATTCAAATTGTTTTATAAAGTTTTCATATACGTAAATAAATTGATTTTAAGCTATCTCCATGTATTAAGTAATCATTTGAAGTAAGTAGTTCAATAGGGCAAATGATATTTCAAAAAATTTTTTTACTATACAATAGTTAAGTTATGCCCATAAAACAAATCTAACTCCAAAACCTTGATTTAAAAAAGGCTAAATTATACCTAAAATATACTATATTTTTTAAGTTCCTCTCCATAGGTTATTTCAATAAAAAGAAGAAGTAAGGGATAGAAAGCACACTCCTCAGAACAGTTTGATTTTCCCTTCAATAGTTGAGAGGTTTATGAGATCTTTGGAAAGGTTCAGATACAGAAAGCAATTCATTTCACGTGTTCGGTGTAATAGAAAATCACTGTGATGCAGCAACAAGCAGTACTTGCACTGGAGTATTACAGTTTACCCACAGAGATTATGGCGGGTGGGTGAGTCCTATGTTATGTAAATCACTGTCAGTGCCCTGAGCGAAGCAGGGTGCTATAGGAAGCAGATCAGTAAACACTCCCGGTGTCCTTGAAACGGAAGGACTTCACTTTCGTGGAACACTGGAGGACTAACGCGTTTCTTAGTCCTTTTCTCAACATCCATTTTCTTTTTCAAAGTGCAAATCGTTAGGAAAAGGCCCCGGTTACACCAATTAGTTTGCACAAAGTGCTTCAGTGTTTAGCTGCTTTAACCCAATTAAGCCTCACAGTGCGCCCCGAAGATGCGCCACCTGCGCGCCTGGCTGCAGCAAGGCCCGCTGGCCGCCCTCCCGCCCTTCGCGTTAGACCCGACAGGACGGCCCTGCCACGGTCCCCGGAACGGCCGCGGGCCTCCACGTCCCAGGCTGCGTCAGGTTCTCGATAACCAGGGAAATATGCAGGTGGCCCAAGAAATGGAGAGGTGAGTCCGGTCCCAGCAACTCTAGCCTGAACCCCAGGGGGAGCGCGCAGGGCGCAGGGGCCGTGGCCGGCGACCAGCACGCGCCGATTTGGCTTCAACCACATGTGGGCCCAGGGCTGAGAGGTGCCTGGGCAGAGACGGAGGCTTTCAGCGGACGTGAAGAAACCCGCACACAGAGTAAGGTTTTAAAATAAGGGCTTACAGAAATAAAGCCTATGGGACTGAGCACAGAGAGGGGAAAGGACGGCCCGGGAATGCGGAGTAGCGGGAGAGAGGGGACCAGCGGGAAGTACATGGGGACTTGCGCTGAATGAAACACAGAGGTGGCTTTTCCCCAGAGACCAACGCACATCTTTGCCTTAGTGGCCGTGGATTCTTCCGCTCAGATTTGCTTCCTCTTCCAACTGCCAAAAGGTAGCAGTGCATTCACCCGCAAAGCCGGCAAAGTGAGGAGGGGCGTTCGGTGATCCCAACCCCAGTCCCTAAGGGAATAGAAGGTTCTCGGGGAATAGCGCAGATGAATGCTGTAAGCTCCAAATCTAATGTACTATTTTAAGCTAAATCAGAATGTATCACTCTTGGATAAGGAGAAAGTAAATAATAGGTGGCTTTGTGATGCTCTGCTGTTGCCACCCCCCCCCCCAATCAAAAGATTGAGTAAAAATTGGGGGCCCTGAACAAGATCTTGTTAAAAGTTGTTCTGAAAGAAAGCGCCTTCAAAATTATTACCAGGCACTAGAGGATTTTGCTGGAAATATTCTTAATTTGGAAGAGAGGGCATCTAAATTAAAAGTTGGCGATTAAAAATCTGCCTAGGTTTTAAAACCACCACATAACCCTAAGTAGTATTTCTTTCCTTTACTAGTACATTAAGGACATAATTGGTACCACAAAAAAAATTCTATATAAATCCATTTCCTCCTCTGTTTCAAGGTTCCAAATCTAGAAATGTTTATTTCTTTCTAATTTTTCCAAAATGATATTTAATTAAAAATCCTGGATGACTGTAAATTAATTTTCTTTTAAAATCTTAATCATTTTCCTTTAATCAAATCACATATAGTCATATAAAATTAGAAGTCTATTGTCAGGTCAGCACTAAGGACACTTAAGAGAGGAGATATATCCTTAATTATACATCTGTAAAAATGAGCAAGAAAACCCAAATCTGCAAATTTTCAGGAAAGTTGTCTGCCAGTGGGTCTCATTTCAATTATCTTTCTTGAATTTCACATACAGCTCATTATGACCATATGTTAATAATCTCTCCATCACAGAGGTAATTGATTTTTCAAATATTTCTATCAATGCATACAAAACTTAGTGTCCCACTTGTAATGTTGGGCAAGCCTACCACAGTACAAAGAGGAGGGAGGGGTATACTAAACATTTTTTAGAACATCCTAACTTAAAGTGGGGTAGACAATATCTAACACACTTAGCAATAATTTTTGGATCCCTCTCAATAACTGCAAATGAGGGACAAATACAATCCGGATCTCTGCCCCAACATGATCTGCCCCAACACACTGCATAATATTTTTAAAAATCATTCTAACATATAGGAACATCCAGAAAACCAACCTGCATAATCAGGAAAGAGCAAACTTTCAACTTGTATTTTAAAAGACCTCCAGGATTAACAGACATTAATGATCTTATTCCTCTAAATGTAAGTTAGTGACTCTTGTCTTAGAAAACCCCAACTAGTCCACTAATTGATGGATGACCATTCATACACCTGTATATGCATTTCAGCGGTAAAAAGACAAACGGTTTTCAGCACCAAGAGTACCACTTGGCCAAGTCTTTTCAAAATGTCAGTATGCTTCAAGTAATACCAAAGCTGAGAGATTCCTCTTGATTTCCAAAAGTGTCTAGGTGGCCTGGGTGGGTTTCTGCCTGCAGCAGCCTCCTACCTTTAGTTCCTGTGCTTATATCCATGAGGGGGATTAATTAGCCTGGCTGGAGCCAAAGGAGGCTGTCGTGACGAGCCCAGTGGCGATTGGCCGCCAGCCTGCCTGGCCCTGCCTTTATAATTTCCACACGAGTGCGTCTGGGCTCTGAGACAAACCGACAGCAGCTTCTTCTGACATATACACACGCACACTCACCCCTGACACACTCAGCACACTTTTCCTCCACCTGATTAACAGTCCTGCACACACAATGACTCTCGGAAAGGGTAAATAAAGACGGAAAGGGTTTATTTTGACTCCTGAAGAGCTTTGCTGGGTATCAGCGCAACTTTGTTTTTATAACTGAGAAGGGGATCTCTCCATGCGTTTCTCTCCCACCAGGATTCTTTAAAAGAGGAAGAGGCCGAGAAAGGGGGAGGGGGACAGTGTTTCACTTTAAGAGCCGCTGGGCGCCTAGACACAAGGAGGGGACCGCGGCAACTAGAACCCCCGCAGCGGCGCGTCCGGACCGGTTTGGAGACGCTCTGAGAGCGCTGGGCCGTTTCTGCACGAAGTTGGCTCCAGCTCTAGCAGCCGCATTGGATCCCACAGCCTACTGCGAGACTCCGGTGTACAATCCGGATCTCTGCCCCAACATGATCGCGGCCCAGGCCAAGCTGGTGTACCATCTGAACAAATACTACAACGAAAAATGCCAAGCCAGGAAAGCTGCCATTGCTAAAACTATCCGGGAAGTCTGCAAAGTCGTATCCGACGTGCTGAAAGAAGTGGAAGTGCAGGAGCCCCGCTTTATCAGCTCCCTCAACGAAATGGACAACCGCTATGAGGGCTTGGAGGTCATCTCCCCCACCGAATTTGAGGTGGTGCTTTACCTTAACCAAATGGGGGTTTTTAACTTTGTGGATGACGGCTCGCTGCCCGGCTGCGCGGTGCTGAAGTTGAGCGACGGGCGCAAAAGGAGCATGTCCCTCTGGGTGGAATTCATTACTGCCTCCGGCTACCTCTCGGCGCGCAAAATCCGGTCCAGGTTTCAGACGTTGGTGGCTCAAGCAGTGGACAAATGTAGCTACAGGGATGTGGTAAAGATGGTGGCAGACACCAGCGAAGTGAAACTGCGAATCCGAGATCGGTACGTGGTGCAGATCACCCCTGCATTTAAATGCACCGGGATCTGGCCGAGGAGTGCTGCCCACTGGCCACTTCCCCACATCCCCTGGCCCGGACCCAACCGGGTGGCGGAGGTCAAAGCGGAAGGGTTCAATCTCTTGTCCAAGGAGTGCCACTCCCTGGCCGGCAAGCAGAGCTCGGCGGAGAGCGACGCCTGGGTGCTGCAATTCGCGGAAGCGGAGAACAGACTGCAGATGGGGGGCTGCAGAAAGAAATGCCTGTCCATCCTCAAAACCTTACGGGACCGCCACTTGGAACTGCCTGGCCAGCCCCTGAACAATTACCACATGAAGACTCTGGTTTCCTATGAGTGTGAAAAGCATCCCCGGGAGTCCGACTGGGACGAGTCTTGCCTGGGCGATCGGCTCAACGGCATTTTGCTGCAACTTATCTCCTGTCTGCAGTGCCGGCGGTGCCCTCACTACTTCCTACCTAACCTAGACCTGTTTCAAGGCAAACCTCACTCGGCGCTAGAGAACGCTGCCAAACAAACGTGGCGACTGGCAAGAGAGATCCTGACCAACCCAAAAAGTTTGGAAAAACTTTAGAGAACAGCCGAAACGTTACTACTCTTCTCAAAATCCTAATTAAGTGTACACGTCCTGTTCGATACCTAATATACCACTTGACAGTGCAAACAATCTCTTCCTTAAAAAGGAATAATACAATGCTTAGGCATTCTCACCCACCCCTCCAAGGGGAGAAAAACAGTGAGGAAAGCAGATAAAGGAAAACCCCAGCCCACAAGTATTAGAGACTTCTTTACAAAGGATTTCATAATTCTCTTGGAAAGTACACAATGACACCCTGAAAACAACCCAGCTGTAATGCAAGACCACAGGGAACACTCTGCCTAACTATCAAAGGATTATAGCAATCCTGGTGACTTAGGTGCATCTGTCTGTGAGTAAACACGATTTGGATATGCCATCTGAAGGAAAGTGTAATGTATATTTTTATTTGTAACAAATATTGTGATCTCACATTGTCTTTGAAGTGTGGATGTTTGTGTTTTGTGATTTGGTGAACAGAAGTTAAATTGCCATTTTGGATACTTCCAGACATTTTCCTCTAACAAAGATACCATTTAAAGGTAGATTTCCTCCCAATACTTTATCTGTCTTTGAAAGTATCTGAACTTTAAAAAGTTTACATTTTGTTTCAAATATATTGCTTGTTCTATTTCTAACATTCCATAAATATACTTGAAATGTTATTTAAATATAGTCAAAGAAATTTGAATTCAGCGTATATAATAACGCTTGAATATCTGAATTATATATTTGAAAAATGCACTTGAAATACACTGGATAATTACTTTTGGGATTTAGATTTTAATTTCTCTTGCTGGTTTTTATTTAATTAGAAGCTAATAAAGAGGTAAAATAAAAGTTGTGTGTCACTTTAAATTGTTTTTCTTTGAAAAGATGTAATGCTTCATTTTGAATATTGAACCCACTTGAATATTTTAAACATTACAATGTTTTTTGTAGAGCTACAGAAGATAACAGTATATCTCACTTTCTAACTTACTTAAAAGACTATTTCTTTCCATGACAGACACAATTTAAATCTACCCATGAAAGCTTGCTCTTCTAGGTTAGTATTTCTGTGCCATTTTTGATGATATAAAGAAAAAATTTAGTGAAGACTGTTAAGTTAAACATCAGACTAACTTGCAGAAATGAACTAATCAAAATCATAATGAAAAATTTAAAATTTGTAAATGAAAGCTATACTAGCTAATAAAATGAAGATAATTTCTGACCAGTTAATGTCAGACCTTATTTTATGCAGTGTTCAAATAGCTGAGTAAATTAATCAGAAATCCAAAATTTCATTTTACTTTATAGGGCTAGCTAATAATAAAAGCATAAAGACAAACTTTAAATTATTTAAAGTCAAATACATTATATTTACACGTATTTGTAAAATTCAATTCTTTTGGATCTAGAAGTGAAAGAAGTCCTGTAACAATCCTTCAGAGAGTATTTTAATAGTCAACAAGTGCTGAGAAGAATTAATCACCTATGGCCTTAAGGTTATTAGTTAATTCAAGTGGGGTTAAATTTTAGAATTTCAATTGCTATTCTACAAATAGCATTTTATAATGCTTTATTTCTATATAAAATTTACATAGAAAGGATAAAGTTCTGGATCTATGGGAGCATTTATCTTTGACTATTTTAGAATAATTGTCTCTGAAAACTACTTTAAAGGAAGACTTTTGTAAAATGATTCTTAAATATCTAGCATGACACTTCTGTTCTTGAATTCTTAACCTCAGGAAAAAAAGTTTACAAATTGTACATACATACAAGTTAAAATAACAATAAAATTGATTGCAGAAGAAAGTGCAGAGGTGTAGAGTTGCCCTGATATTCAGGTTTTAAAATCTAAACAAGACATAAAAAACAAATAAAATATGCATTTCAAATCCTCCAAACGTGTATTTTCTGCATTACACCCAGAGAAGAATACAAACTTTAAACATCCCAGCGCTAGTATATACACATTTTAAGTCAAAACTTTCCAGAGAATCAGTTTCTCTTCCTTTTAAATTCACATGTAAAACCCATTCTTATTTCAGGAAATAAAAAATGGATGTAATAATGGAGATTAATTTATATCTAAATGTAACCCCCTCCCTGCGGTTTCCTTATAACCTTTCAATCAATAATAATTCACACTGCAATCTACATTTTTGGAAATTAAAAGTGATCTCTAAGAAATTTCATAAAACCCTTCCCAGTCTTCTCAGAGAGCCTGAGATTCTGTACCACAGGGACTTGGGAGCAATTGGCTTAACTACCAAATCTACCCAAATGCACACAAAGGCACTCATAGACAGACTGTTAAAATGTGCCTGCTCTGGTAATACAGAATTTAAAATCGTTAATATAGTCTTCAATCCCATAAAATAAAGCATGTGTTACTTCACTCATTTTATTTTCTATGAGAAAGATGGGAATCTGCTCCCCTCCCCCACTGTCATTTAAAACCCAGCAAAATTGAAAAACACTTCCTCCCACAAAGCCACCAGTACTGTAGCCTAATCACTTTAACTCACTTTAGAGTCGATCTTTTTGAAGGCGGGGTCTTCCTCATCTACCTCGAAGTAGATTTCTGTCGTGGTGATCGAGAGAGTCCCTTTGGCTACCACCACAGGAGCGATGAGCTGGGCAGGCGTGCTGAGGACCACTGGGCCTGAAAGACAAGGGCATTCTAGTCAGGCTAAGTCCCTGTGACTCTCTCTGGCTTCCTCCCAGAGTGGTACCACAGGCTTTTATTTTTAAAGATGCACCAAAAAGATGGTGCTTATACTATGTAGCAAGCTCCTTCCATGCGAGATAAGGTCAGCTTAGCTTTCACAAATTACCTTAAAACGACACTAGAAATAAATACTTTTTATAAAAACCCAATAGGCCAGAGAACCGAATAAGTAACGCTTAGTAAACGAGTTTGCAACCTCCTCCTAGAAATCCTACATGGTTGGTGAGACGCTGTTATTAACTAAAAAGTGCAGTACTGACTCTACCAGGCCCGATTCTGCACGGAGCACCCCGGCTGTCCGAAACCCTAGGCAGTCAGCACTGCTGGAAAGAAACAGTCCTTGAGTAAAGCCCCGTAAACGAGGCAGCAGAGTTCCCCAAGGGCTGTGCGGGAGGTGTGAAGCCGGCGGGATGGTAATATAGAAAGTCCAAGGCACTACGGGTTTGCATCTTGCAGGAGGATTAATATCGGTGTCCCGAGGCGTGCCACGTACACATACACGCGCGCGCACACGGACATTAAATACATTTCTTATGTAGAAAAAAACCCAAAACTCATAGCAGTGATTTTTCTAACAGAGAACCAGTCAAAAGATGGTGAAATTGTTAAGACATTTGAACAAAACGATTCTCAGGAAAACAGCCGAAAAGTTCTAATTCTCAATTTTTTAACTAGAGGAATTAAGCAAGCTGCAGCAAAAGATTTTTAGGCAATGTGTCTACTAAGATGCTTACTTCAAATCCCTTCCATCTGAGTTAGAATTGAAAATTAAGAATTTCGCATATTAGAATAGTACAAAGGGGGATTGCTTAGCAGTTCGTTTAAGATTCCCGGAAGGGGAGGCATTCTTAGCTGGACTACAGACAAGGAAATCAGAAATAACGTCCATTCTTCGGTAGCAAGGACGCATTGCATTCTTTTCCATTCCCCCCTCACTTGCATTTTAGTCAAAGGAGTCACAATAACAGCAAAACAGCGATAAAAAGGAGGGTCCCCTGTGGACACTGAGGTCAGGGCCCTTCGCGGCCCGTGGAGGTGACCGCGCTCCGGGGACAAGCACCAGGAATTCGCCACCAGCCGCACAAAGCCGGTCTTTCTGTCGCCAGAGGCACCGAGAGGACTAGGCCGGCTTCCGTCGCGTGGATGTGAAGCAAACTGTGTCAGTGTCAGTCTACACCCTGGACCGTGACTGCCTGCCTGGTCGGAGGAACACTAAACCCTTTCGTTTATTTTACTGCTTTCTCTCCCCGCCTGGAGCCCGCAAGGGGCCCGGCTGGGCACTAAACCCTTTCGTTTATTTTACTGCTTTCTCTCCCGGCTGGAGTCTCGGGCCTGCAGCTTCCGCTTCAGAGCCAGCGGAGTCAGGGGTCCACCTTGGCTCCGTGAGGTTTTTCTTTCCAAAGGGCAAAGCGGTCGATCTGAAGCGCCACTTTAAAGACTCATCAATCTTAATCTAGGTTGCTCAAGTAATTATGCCTGAATCTCTTGTATGATTACAAGTGGATTTGGGTTTCTATTCCCCAGACCCTCCTTTGTGTTCATTGGAGGGTCTGTTTGGTCGCTCAGAAGCGCCCCTGCCTCCCAAGCCTAGCTCAAAATCCCCAAAGCCAGGGCATCCAACCGGCTCCCTTAACCCTTAAACTACCAGGACTCCTTTGGATGCCACTCTTTGATTTCCCTTCTGGAGAAACCCATGTTTACTCTTGTTTAGGACAAGGTGAGAAAGAAGGTGATGTGATTCACATCAGAAACAAAATATCTTATTCATCGTTGGGCCTTGCTAAATAAAACCTTAGGAAAGTCCTTATTCTAAACACAGAAGGATAGTGATTTCTGGTTTAATAGAGCTTTCTGGCAATTGGAGTCCAAGAATGGTCAAAAACATAAAAAATGGCAAAGTGCTTCTTTCTCTTAAAAAGTAATTCAACAGATCCAAACAATTAAATTGGAAAAATTGAAAATATATCATGAAACACATTATGAAAACCATACACACTGATTTACTGAAATATATTATGAATTTCAAATACAGTTCTGTAAACTTTTAACAGGTAACACATTTTCTCTACATGTTTCTTTGTGTTTCTGAAAGGACACTGCACTACCTTTTGATTTTACTCCAATCTTATTCTATTGAATTGCTATTTTATGGGGGTTTATAAAAGGGCTTCAAACGGGTCCTTCTTTAAGAAAGTCATGTCATAAAATACTCAGCTTTGTGTGTCATTTTTACCCTTGTCCTTTGGAAATACTAGTATTCAATTACACTTCCAATTCCATGTTTAAGGAGCACCGAGTCTTTTTGTTGTAGCCTTCAGGAAGCAAACCAGTCACAGAGAGAATACAGAGTTAATCCACTACAGCAATAAAGAGAGGGGGTTATACATTAATCCCTTTTGGGAGACCCTCATTTTAGGGATCTCATATTAAGATATTTATATAAGGAACAATCACAAACCAGTAGACCTTTCATCTGGAAGATGTGGGTATTTGAAAGCCTCTATCCCTTTAAAAAAAAAAAAAGTTAAAACGGGGCAGCATCTCTGGAAGCAAGAGCAATGGTGATCCAGCAGGTTCTATTCTAGAAGATAAATTGGTAAAAATTTAACCTCTAATTTGATTAGTGTAGTGAGTTGGGGACCTGAATGTAGATATATTCAATCCAATCACTACTATAGCAATAAAAGGATAAAATATAATGTTATCAAAATATGATGTAGCCCTGAGCTGTTTGGCTCAGTGGATAGAGCGTCAGCCTGAGGATTGAAGGGTCCCAGGTTTGATTCCAGTCAAGGGCATGTACCTTGGTTGCAGGCACATCTCCAATAGGGAGCGAGCAGGAGGCAGCTGATCAATGTTTCTCTCTCATCAATGTTTCTAACTCTCTATCCTTTTCCCTTTCACTCTGTAAAAAATCAATAAAATATATTTAAAAAATATAATGTAGATATATTCAATCCAATCACTACTATAGCAATAAAAGGATAAAATACAATGCATATGAGTGACAAATAATAAAGTACGGTTAAAGAAATGGATGGGACAAAACCTCCTCCCCTTATTGATGCCTATAATACTTTAAAGCTGTGTCATCTAAAGTGGTAATTAAAGAAAAAGAAAAATCATTTACATTTTTAAATTGGGAATATAATGTTTAAGAAATCTTGATCCATTACTATTTTTGAAAGAAGGAGAGGGATATAACTTTTCATTTTAATGCTAATTTAAAATCTGAATTAAAACAAAGGTTAATTCACAAACATAGTGAAAAGAATGTTTAAAAGAATAAATTCTCTTTAGAGCCATAGAGTCTTTAATCCGCTGAGATTGTAAACCTAGAGTAGAAAATAGCATATGTTTTATATTTGAGAAGGGAACTATTCATGAAATATATCTTAAAAGTAGAATGTTAAAAAAAATTCATGGGTTTGG